GCCAGATGTTCAGACTGGATTTGGCATTTTGTCTACCTATCGAGTCCTTACCCAGGACCTGGGATAGGCAGATGTGGATGTTTGATGGTATTACAGATATCGTCGCAGGATGGAAGCAGTTCCTAATAAGGCTGCCTTTTGCAATTGACTAATAGCGAATTTGTCAATGCCAATGGTGTTCAAGTGGCGCTCCAGTTGTTTTGGGATTGCACCCAAGGAGCCTATGACTATTGGTACTACCCTTGCTTGCTTTTGCCACAGTCTTTCTATTTCTATTTGTAGGTCTTTGTATTTTGTTATCTTCTCCAGTTCTTTCTCTTCTATTCTGCTGTCTCCAGGCACTGCCACGTCCACTATCCAGACTTTTTTGTCTTTCTTATCGACAATTGTTAAGTCTGGGGTGTTATGTTGCAGGTGCTTGTCTGTTTGAATTCTGAAGTCCCAGAGCAGTTTAATTTTATCATTTTCTATGACTTTCTCTATTTTATGATCCCACCAGTTTTTGCTTACAGGCAAATGATATTTTTTGCAGATCTTCCAATGCACCATTGTTGCTACTTTGTCATGCCGCTGCTTGTAATCAGTCTGTGCAATCTTCTTGCAACAGCTTACCAAGTGGTCCACTGTTTCTTCAGCTTCTTTGCATAGGCGGCACTTACTGTCTGTTGCTGTCTTCTCAATTTTGACTTTGTATGCATTTGTCCTTAAGGCTTGGTCTTGTGCAGCCAGAATTAGTCCCTCGGTCTCTTTCTTCAATTTTCCTGCTCTTAGCCATTGCCAGGTTTTATTATTATCTGCTTTCCCAGCTATTTTTTTCATGTATTGGCCATGTAGTGCTTTGTCTTCCCATGCCTCTATTCTGTTCTTCATTTGGTCTTTCCTGTAGGCCAGTTTGGTCTCTCCAGTAGTTAGTAAGCCTTCCTGATATACTAATTTCAGTTCATCTTCATCATTGTTCTTCAGATATTCTTCCATTATTATTATTATTATTATTATTATTATTATTATTATTATTATTATTATTATTACTATTACTATTATTACTATTATTATTACTATTATTAAACAGATTCTCAGTCATCCAGGCCACGGTTGTCTCAAAAGTGCTTTTTCCAAGAGGCAACTGGACTTTCCTTGTTTAGCTTTAAAGATGTTTCGCTTCTCATCCAAGAAGCTTCAGAGCTGAAGAAGCTTCTTGGATGAGAAGCGAAACGTCTTCAAAGAAAAAAACAAGAAAAATCCAGTTGCCTCTTAAATAAAACACCTTTGGGACAATAAAAATGATGAATGAAATGAAATTACGTATCAGCAGTTACTAGAATGGCTAAGCTTACGGCTGTTTTTTTTGTGAATTTGATGCACTCACACTGCATTCTGTTACGCCATAAGAAACAATAAAATAAATTGCTAAGCAAGACAGATGTTAAGTGAGTTTTGCCTCAGTTTACGACTTTTCTTGCCACTGTTGCTAAGTGGTTAAGTTTGGAACACATTTAACAGTTGTTAAATGAATCACTGCAGTTGTTAAGTTAGTAACACGATTGATAAGGCTTCCCCATTGACTTTGCTTGTCAGAAAGTCACAACAGAGGATCACATAATCCTGGGACACCACAACCATCATAAATATGAGTCCGTCGCCAAGCATCTGAATTTTGAGCACGTCACCATGGGGATGCTGCAGTGGTCATAAGTGTGAAAAACAATCCTAAGTCACCTTTTTCAGAAATTTTAATAGAATAGAATAGAACAACAGAATTGGAAGGTACCTTGGAGATCTTCTAGTTCAACCCCCTATTCGGGCAGGAAACTCTATACCATTTTTTACAAAATGTGGCTTTGAATGGTCACTAAATGAACGTTGTAAGTGAAGGACTACCTATAGTTGTTGTGATGTCTCCCTTGGACGCATCCCCAGATGCCTCTCCAGAGGCTACTTCAAGAAGGATGAGCTGGCAGCTGAGGGCTACAAACCAAGAGTGCAGGGCACCGAGCAAGAGGGAGCAACCAGATGAACAGCCAGCTGAGCCAGAGACAGGAGAGGAACGGATACAGCTGGGAAGCTCAGAGGCTTTGGGTGCCAAGGACACACAGCTGCAGCTGGTCAGTGGAGATGAAGAAAAACTACCTCCTTCTCCTCCGGATCTAAGAGCATGTAGGGCTGAGAGGAGGCAGGCACAAAGAAGGTCAGCCAGGCTATTTGCGAGGAGGCAGCCTTGGCCCTCTTGATGAGCTGCACCAAGCAGCCATTATTTAGCTGAGCAAGAGGAGTGAAATAATGCTGGGAACAACGTGTTTCTTTCCTTGCTATGTGTTCTTGCCTTGAACTTCGGATTGTGTTTCTTCAAATGTGGCCTTGCCTTTGCCCTGGGGGCTTGCTTTTGCCTTGGGAACTTGCTTTGGCCTAGTGGACTGAACTCACCTTTGCCTTGAGGCCTAGTGTTGGCTTCATTTGAGTAGGCCGTGGAACTCATTGAAATATAAAAAATAGAATAACAGAGTTGGAAGGGACCTTGGAGGTCTTCTAGTCCAACCCCTTATACAGGCAGCAAACTCTATACCTATATAGGTAGCAAACCCTATACCATTTCAGACAAATGGTTGTCCAGTATCTTCTTGAAAACCTCCAGTGTTGAAGCACTCACAGCTTCTGGAGGCAGGTTGTTCCACTGGTTAATTGTTCTCACTGTCAGGAAATTTCTCCTTAGTTCTAGGTTGCTTCTAGATTAATTTCCATCCATTGCTTCTTGTCCTACCCTTGGAGTTGAGCTGGTGCCAGCACAGGGAATTGCTGGGGAATACCAATCAGAATAACAAAGACCCCTTACATAACAGACCCCTTAATAAAGACCCCTTACATTAATGGTGTGTGCGTGTACTTGAGTGAGCGGGACAGCACAGTTGTGATCAAGTTGTGATTCTTGGACTAAATCATTTTTCTCTCTCAGTTTCATCAAATTTAAGATGACTGGATTAACTCCCAGAATTTCTCAGCCAGTTGTGAGGTTCACACATCTTCAGGTTGTGGAGACTGAGAAACACAACACTACATTGACTCAATTGCTCAGAACTGTGACGCCTTGGAAACCCAATTCCCACACCGTCTCCCCTAAAGCTCAGGAAAGGCAGTCTGCACACCCTCAAGGGAACAATTTCCAAAGAAACGTGGTCCACAACCCATAAAAAAAAATAGTTGGGGGAAGGTTGCTTCTCTTCCTGGCTTGGGAAACCTCTCGATTTTCACATCTGATCAGCCAACATAATACCCTGCTGCTTTGATCCTGCAGGGGCAAAAGGTGGTGCCTGGAGCAATATTCCTCCAGGAATATTGAGATGTTTCTCCTGGAAAAAAGCAAGAAGCACATAATTCCTCGCATGGAGCATCTTTATAACAGAATAACTGGGACCTTGGACCTTGGAGGTCTTCTGATCAAAGAGAGAAGCAACCTGGAATGAAGGAGAAACTTCCTGACAGTGAAGACAATTAACCAGTGGAACAGCTCGCCTCCAGAAATCGTGGGCGCTCCATCACTGGAGGTTTTCAAGAAGAGGCTAGCTAGACAATCATTTGTCTGAGATGGTATAGGTCAGTGGTGGCGAACCTATAGCACACGGGCCAGAGGTGACACTCAGGGCCCTCTCTGTGGGCACGCGCACTGTCGCCCCAGCCCCACTGTGGCCCCCTCCTCTCCAGCAGCCCCCAAGAGGAGATTCACCCCCAAGTGCGGCCTGCACGGAGTAGCGCAGCCAAGGACATGGCAACCGGGCCGCGGGGACAAGACTCTGCCCTTGTGCCCCACCGCACGCAGATGATGCTGTGGGGTGTGGATGGAGGGCGTGGTTGCCATGGTGCTGCTGGGTGCCATGGCGATCTGCGGTGGACCATGGAGGCAGTGGGTGGCTGGGTGGGCAATGGGGGCTGGGGCAGAGTGGGGGTGGGCAGGGCGGGGGCGGGGCCAGTTTTGGGGCACTCGGTCTCTAAAAGGTTGGCCATCACTGGTATAGGTTCTCCTGCTTGAGCAGGGGGCTGGACTAGAAGACCTCCAAGGTCCCTTCCAGCTTCTATTCTATTCTATTCTATTCTATTCTATTCTATTCTATTCTATTCTATTCTATTCTATTCTATTCTAACCCCTCTTCAAGCAAGAGACAATATACCATTTCGGACAAATGGTTGTCCAATCTCTTTGTAAAAATCTCCAGTGAAGGAGCACCCACAACATCTGAAGGCAAGTTGTTTCACTGATTAATTGTTATAATTGCCAGGAAATTCCTCCTTAGTTCCAGGTTGGTTCTCTCCTTGATTAGTTTCCATCTATTGATTCTTGACCTGCCTTCAGCTGCTTTGGAGAATAAGTGGACCCCCTCTTCCTAGTGGCAGCCCCTCAAAGATTGGAACACTGCTATCATGTCACTCCTAATCCTTCTTTTCATTAAATTAGACATACCCAATTCCTGCAATCCTTCATGTTTGCGCTTCCAGCCCTCTAATCAATTTGTTGCTCTTCTCTCTTTTTTTTTTTTTTACATCGTGGTGACTAAAACTGGAGGCAGTATTCCAAGTGTGGCCTTACCAGGGCCTTGTAAAGCAGTACTAACACTTCACGTGATCTTGATTCTGTCCCTCTGTTAATGCAGAATGAAGCCACTGTGTTGGCTTTATCCTGGGTGATCATGGGTGTGAGACACTTCAGCCCAGGAAGGTGTGGAATTAAATTCGAATTCTTTCCAAGCATTCTGCTTCAGCCGGGCAGCGACTTCAGTGTGTGTGTGTGTGTGTGTGTGTGTGTGTGTGTGTGTGTGTGTGTGTTTGTGTGTGTGTGTGTGACATTGCTGAGAGGAAGAAAAGGAAAGGAAGGGAAAAAAGCCACACTCTCTGTGCAATACTGTGCAGTGGGTGTGTCAGGGCGTGGGTGTGCACAGCAGCAGCCACAGGGTAGGGGGAGGACCCGGGGCGGATCCAGGGTTCTGCACCTGCTTATAAGCCGGGGCAGTTTTGGATTCTGACATGAGCCTCAGAGAGCTGTGGCTGACAACGTTCAGATCCAGGCATTTCCTAGACTCCTTCCACACCTGTATTGTGAGAGCCAGGCGCCATGGGGAGGCAGAAGGAAATGCTGACAGCCATCGGAGGGAGGCTGCGGATCAGGAATAAACTTCTACGGCAGGCCTTGGCGGAATGCCTGGGCACCCTCATCTTGGTGGTACGTAAGTGGATGGGGACTCGGTGGGAAAGGAGGGGGGGAGAGGGAGGAGAAGGGAGAAGAAGAAGAGAGAAGGAGAAGGAGGAGTGAAGGAGGAGAAAGAAAAACGGTGGTGTTGGAAGATGAAGAGGAGAAGGAGGGGAAGAGGAGGAGAAAGAGAAGGAGAAGAATGGAGGGGAAAGGAGAAGGTGATGGAGGAGGATAAATGGGGGTGGTGGAGGAGAAGAATGAGGAGGAAAAAGGAGAGAAAGAGAGAAAGGAGAAGGAAAAGGAGGAGGTGAAGCAGGAGAAAAAAACGGTGGTATTGGAAGATGAAGAGAAGGAGGGGAAGAGGAGGAGAAAGAGAAGGAGAAGAATGGAGGGGAAAGGAGAAGGTGATGGAGGAGGATAAATGGGGGTGGAGGAGGAGAAGAATGAGGAGAAGAGGAAAAAGGAGAGAAAGAAAGGAGAAGGAAAAGGAGGAGGTGAAGCAGGAGAAAAAAACGGTGGTATTGGAAGATGAAGAGAAGGAGGGGAAGAGGAGGAGAAAGAGAAGGAGAAGAATGGGAGGGAAAGGAGAAGGTGAGGGAGGAATAGAAATGGGGGGTGGAGGTGGAGGAGAAGAATGAGGAGAAGTGGAAAAAGAGAAGGAGAGAAAGGAGAGAGAAAGGAGAAGGAGGAGAAGAAGTAGGGGAGAAACGATGGTGGCACTGGAGGAGGAGGAGGAGAAGAGGGAGGAGGAGAAGAAGAAGAGAGAAAAAAGGAAAAGAATGGGAGGGGAAGGAGAAGGAGAGAGAAAAGGGAGAAGGAGAAAAGGAAGGGGGAGAAGGAGAAAGAGAAGAAGGATGCGAAGGAGAAGAATGGGAGGAGGAGGAGGAGGAGGAGGAGGAGGAGGAGGAGGAGGAGGAAGAAGGCTTTACTCTCTTTGCCACTGGATGTGAAGTTTTTGTAATCCATCCTCCCGTCAACCAATTAAAGATCTATCTGCTCTGTCCACACAAGATGAGAAGGGTTAAAGTTAGCCTGTTTTTATCCTGGCTGAACGTCTACCCTAGTGACATCCAGCCTGTTTGGTTAATTCTGGATGGAAAGTACTGTTCTAACTTAGGAAATGGGCTTGATTAGGGACCAGACTTGGATTGTTGTGTGAATGGAGCCAGGGACTGAAAAACCTCAGGCTGAGGTTTTCTCACTAGTTGTGCCCATGAAGGGTTTTGCTTCCAGAAGGGAAGAAGAACTGAAAATTCTCTCCAAATCGGACTCTTTTCAACAGGCTAGCCTTGGGGTTTCACTGAGCTCCGTCAAGCACCATTGAAGCGTTCTGTCTAACTGGAAAGTTTGCACCATTGGGTGTCAAAAAGTTTGACTTTCTTGAAAGGGTCCCGCCAATCTCTTCCAGAATTCAGATGGGGGAAATGCTTCACATAGGTAATCTTTAGAGCAGGGGTGTCCATCCTTGGCCACTTTAAGACCTTTGGACTTCAACTCCCAGAATTCCCCAGTCAGCATAGCTGGCTGGGGAATTCTGGGAGTTGAAGTCCACAAGTTTTGTGAGTTCAAGTTCTGCCTTGACGTTGGCCAAGTTGGGTGGATGACCTTGGCCTATGCTCTCTCTCTCTCTCAATATCTCTCTCTCTCTCTCTCTCTCTCTCTCCCTCCCTCCCTCCCCCCCCTCTCTCTCTCTCTCTCTTTCTCAATCCAACCCACCTCACAGGGTTGTTGTTGACAACAAAGCTCTTCATAACTCAGTGTTTCTCAACCTTGGCCACTTTAAGCAACTTTAAGCCACTTCGGCAATTCTGGGAGTTGAAGTCCACCCAGGTTACAGTTGCTCAGCTTGAGAAATTTCACCTTAACTACTACACCAAAAAAGCGAGGGAGAGAGGAGAGGAAGGGAAGGAGGAGAGGAAGGGAAGAAAGGAGGGAAAGGAAAGAAGGAGAGAGAGAAAGGAAGAGGAGGAAGGAGAAAGAGAGGAAGGGAAGGGAAGGAAGAAGAGAGAGAGAGCAAAGGAAGGAGGGAGAGAGAAAGGAAGGGAAAAGAGAGAGAGAACGAAAAGGGAAAGAGAGAGAAAGAAAGGAAAGAAGGGAGGAGAGAGAGAAGAAGGAAAGGAAAGGAAAGGAAGGAGAGAGAGAGAGGAAGGGAAGGGAAGGAGAGAGAGAACAAAGGAAGGAAGGAGAGAGTGAGAACAAGAAAGGAAGGAGATAGAAAGAGGGAAAGGAGAGAGAGAAGAAGGAAAGGAAAGGAAGGAGAGAGAGAGAGGAAGGGAAGGGAAGGAGAGAGAAAACAAAGGAAGGAAGCAGAAAGTGAGAACAAGGAAGGAAGGAGAGAGAAAGGAGGCGAAAGGAGAGACAGAAAGAAAGGGGAAAGAAAGTGAAAAAAGGAAAGGGAAGGGAGGAGAGAGAGAAGAAGGAAAGGAGGAAGAGAAAGAGAGGAAGGGAACAGAAGGAAGGTAGAGGAAGAGAAGAAAGGAGAGAGAAAGGGAGGGAAGAGAAGGGAAGTGAAGAAAGAGAAACACTGCTAACTTTGCAAGCTAATTCCTGTGAATAAATCGGAGCTCCTTCTGTTTAAGTTTTTATTGAGAGCGATCACCTTGGTACCAACCAACATTCCCCAAACATCACATTTGTCATCGGTTGTTAAACTTGACAGGTGATTGTTGCACCTCTTTAACCCTACTTACCTTACTCCAAATCCTTTAGGGAGGCTGTAACTGATCCAGTGCTTATGGCCAGTCAGGGTAAGCCTTCCATTTCACAGGAGCTAAATTCTTGCCCAACCCATGACACTTCTTAAACCAGGGGCAGGCAACCTTGGCTCTTTTATGACTCGTGGACTTCAACTCCCAGAATTCCTGAGCCAGCCAAGCCAAGCTGGCTCAGGAATTCTGGGAGTTGAAGTCCACGAGTCATAAAAGAACCAAGGTTGCCTACCCCTGTCTTAAAAATGCCCATCGTGCAGTTTTTCCAAGGCAGGGTTCGTGTGACATCTCTCCACGCTTAAGTAGAATCTGCTGACGTCATTCAGTGGGCTCAATTCACAGAACGAATCGGCCCCAAATGACAGGGGAGGCCCTCGACTTATGACCACCACTGAGCCAGATGTTTCCGTCGCTAAGCAAGACCATTGTTTAGTTGAATGTTGCCCCTTTTACGACCTTCCTCGGCAAAGTCCTTAAGTGAATCACCACAGTTAAGCTAGCAACATGGTTGTTAAGGGAATCTGACTTCCCCATTGACTTTGCTGGTCAGAAAGTCACAAAAGGGGATCACGTGATCCCGGGACACTGTGACCGTCATAAATACGAGTCCATTGCCTCGTGTCTGAATTTTTACTGCATCCTCGTGGGGACACTGCAATGCTTGAGAGTCATAAGTCCCTTTTTTACCCATGCCGTCGTAACCTAGAACGGTCAGTAAGTGAACTGTTGGAAGTTGAGGACGACCTACAACCAGCCAGCTTTTGAGTCTAAGCTCGTTGGCCAAACTCAACCCGTCTTCTCTAGCAAAGGATATGGGAACCTTTGAGTACCTTAATCTCTCCTTGCAATATGAGTGGGTGAGGAAGAAAAGAGGATTCTTTGTTTTGCTACTTTGAGTAAACTTTTTCCGAAAACCGTGGAGTGAGAGAGGTAAATGATATTGTCACACCACAACACTCTGAGTTGCTTTCCCCCCAGTGTTTGGGATCAGAACTCCATAGCTCCATTGGGAGAAAAATGCGGGGAGGGGGGAGGCCTCCCCTCCTCTATTCGAGGAGCTGCCGAGAGGTTTGCAAAAGCAGAAAAACAACCGCAGCTAGGAAATAGCAGGGCCTTGCCATCTCCGCCAGGTCCGTGCGCACCGAGGTAACGCCGTAATGCGCTGTTTCTTTCATCAACCCGCTGCTCTCTTGTGCACAGCCATTCCTGGAAATTAATGGAGCCAAGCACCATTATCGCAATCCTAGTGGGAGCCGCCCAGAGTTTGGTATACGACCAGCGGCTGTATAAATCTTTTAAATAAATCGGGGAGAATCTTTGTCGCTCAGGGTTGAAATGTGGGCTTCTTGGTGCAGTCTCTGAGCTGGGTGGTTTTCTCACAGATATTTCATGACCCAATTAGATGACATCGCCAGTGCTAGAAGGGAGGGGGGTTATGGAGGAGGAGGAGGAAGAGGAAGAGGAGGAAGACTGTGGGGTCCTTGGTGCTCTCTGAACTGGGTTATTTTCTTGCAGACGTTTCATTACCCAACTCGGTAACTTCATCAATTCTAGAAGAGGTGGGGGGTTTGCTCTCTGTTTATATACTAGTGCAGGGGTAGGCAACCTTGGCTCTTTGATGACTCGTGGAATTCAACTCCCAGAATTCCTGAGCCAGCCATGCTGAGGGAAAAGGGAGAGGTTTCCAAGCTGAACCATGCTGGCTCAGGAATTCTGGGCCAGCATGAGGGAAACTTTGGCCCCTTCATGACTGGTAGACTTCAACTCCCAGAATTCCTGAACCAGCATGAGGGAAACTTTGGCCCCTTCATGACTCATGGACTTCAACTCCCAGAATTCCTGAGCCAGCCATGCTGAGGGGAAAGGGAGAGATTTCCATGCTGAGCCATGCTGGCTGAGGAATTCTGGGAGTTGAAGTCCACGAGTCATAAAAGAGCCAAGGTTGCCTATCTTTGTACTAGTAGCTTCCCCTGTCAGTGTTGGTGTGAATGTTCTTGGTAATTTCTTGATTAGGCTGTTGTTTACTGAGATGGTAACCAACTGAGAACAGAGAGCAGCCACTCCCTCTCTCTAGCACTGATGACATTGCTTAGTTAGAACATAGAATAACAGAGTTGGAAGGGACCTTGGAGGTCTTCTAGTCCAACCCCCTGCTTGAGCAGGAGACCCTATACCAGTGGTTCTCAACCTTTTTAATGCCGCGACCCCCAACCGGTCATAAGTCGAGGACTACTCAACTGGTGCAGCACTGTTTGCAGAATGAGACTTTTGGCGGGCTCATCAGGGCAGAGACAGCCTGGACAATTCCTATTGGCTTTGGAA